GGGGGGGGGGGGGGGGGGGGGGTTTGTAGACTAACACGGTAGACACGGTGACCAGTTGCTTTTGAAGGGGACATCCCAGTGTACTTGATACCGTGGAATTTATTATGGAAACACTACACATAAATAATTTTGAAATTGCCATCAGTTGTGGCTTTGTTCTAGCTGTTTGGGTAGCAAGTTTAATCACCTGGAAAATGGGCAGCAAAGAGATACTTGCCACGCTCTACCTCCTGCTTAGTTTATTTGCTGCCTGGAGCTTTCTAACCCGAGGGTGCGCCCTGCTGCTGGGTAAGGGCCAGCACTCTGCTGGGCACGGGCAGGGCTCCCCTGCCTCTGTGCTGGCACCCCAGAATGCTGTTTTCACTTCCCATTTTACTAATAGCAGCGTGTTTCTGACCTGCCTGTGGGCTGAGCAGCAATTTACAGCCATTTGTGGAAAACACCGTTGACTTGTAAAATGCTGAAGGTTCGAGACTATAATGAGTTTATAATGTGTGTCCTTCAGACTCCTGTTAAGTCACACAGATGCTCTCTGCTGCCTCACATCAGGTAGTCCTGCCCTGTTTCCAGCATCACTGTCCAGGTGTCTGAATAGGAACACATGGGAGCATGAGATGCTGTTTCAAATTAAATTTCCTAAGAAAAGTGCTTTAGTTTTCTTTCTTTTAGTGTTCCCTTCTGGGGACGGTGGGGGTCCCTTTAGTCATTCAGTCCTCCAAAGAAAAGTGCCAGGAAGTTCTTGGTGTCATTAGCTCGGTGTCAGGAAAGGTGGAGCCTTCACTTGTTGGACATCACGGAGCCTAGAGAAAAGAGCCTGGAAAATGGACACAAACAGGGGCCTCTCCATTTCTGTTCCACAGTGGATTCAGCTTGGGAAAAAAAAAGGGGGGGGAGGGGGAAGTAATCTGCAGTGTACTTCTGCATCTCACTGGAATTATTTTCTCATGCTGTTTCTGGCTGTACAGGATAACTATTCCCTTTTGACAGTGAAATAGGTAGGAGCAAATCCCCAGTATCTTGCAGCCCTGGGCTTGTTCTGTAACAGCAGTTCAAGCCAAATTTCTTCTTTTAAAAAGATGCTGCTTTTGCCTGTACAAGGTTGAACGCTCAGATACGATCACCTGGAGTGTGTTGCTGCTCTTAGCTCTGATCAGATACAGGTGCTGGCCACGCAGCTGGAGAGAGCAGCATTAAACGTGCAGGACGGAGCTGCTGAGGCGCGTGTGGCCGTGTCTCCTGGTTCCGGAGCTGTGGCAGCCCCTACGCGGAGAGGGGATGGCTCGGCGGCGCTGGGTCTCTGGGTCTCTGCAGCCTACGTGCTGCGCCTGGCAATGGGGAAGGAGGAGACAGCGCGTGGACTGCACTGCAGCACACTGCAGCACTCCGAACAAAGCCTCGCCGGGAAAACTGCTCGTGTAGTGTCGCTGCCCTGCGCTGAGTGTGGTGGGAGAAGGGCCCTGCGGCCCTGGCTGTTGGGAGCAGTTCCTCACCTCACACTCCCTTACTTTCCCAGAGGCTTTGCTTTAACTGAGTTATTAATAAGGCAGTAATTACAAGTAATAGACCAGGTGAGAGAAGGCTGAAGTGAGGGTAGGGGGGTGCTGCTCCACTGCCCACTGGAGCTGGGCAGGAGGCAGCAGAGCCCTTGTCTGCGGTCAGAGCACGGCAGCCTCTCGGGGGGAAGGGGGTGTCCGCAGGCAGTACTCCTGAGCACGCTCGTACCAGTGCTCTGCACTGCGGTCAGGGCAGCACAGCAGAGGGGCCCGTTCCTCTCATACCCCCTGGGAGAGTTGTGCCTTGCACGGTGTAGTATACGAGTGCTGCTGCAGCCTTCCAGGGAGGACTCTGCCGGTAACCAGGTCACTCAGAGAAGGCTTCCTCCTCCAACACTCGATCAGAGCTTGTTCGTTCTGATGCACAGATTCCTATGCTGTCCGTGGGCTTTGTTCTCAGGCTCTGCACCACCACATCCTCTCCAGGGATGCATGAAACCAAGCAGGATGAGGGTTGTCTTTTCCCCACAGTTTTTTATATGCGCTGTTATTGTGATAACAAGATTCATTAAATGTTCCCTATCCGCAAAATTATCCTGCCCAGCTTCACATGAGCTGCGTGTCCCTATGATCACAAGACAGAAGGAGACCTCTGCGTTTGCAGCCACTCAAGCTGCACTGACTGGCCCTGAACACAGAAAGGTCCCTTGAGTTGATCTCTACAGCATCAGGTGTAGCAGTGTCCTATTAACCCGTCTACATCTCTCTGCCCCGCTGTCAGGTGTTAGCAGCTGTATCATAGTGCTTGCTTACGGTGCAAGGAGGAGAAAATAACTAATAGAACCTTTAGACTCCTGCAGAGACCAGAGGGCTCAGGAGTTGCACTGTTCCTTGGAATGTTACTGGAGTATCAGAGCCCATACTCTGTGATTTCTGGTGGTTCTCTTTCTGGCACTTGGCTGAAGTTTTCCAGGAAAGGGAGCCCATTGGGGAAGGAGCAAGTGCCTTTTTACAAGGCTTCTCTTTGTAAGCACAGAAGGAAGCAGAGGAGTCCTTTTCCTCCAGGTACCAGTATTGCATGGTTTCAGGAGGCAAGCCAAGCTCAATTTAGGACTCTTGTAAAGTAGGGGAATTGGCTAAAATGGAGAGTATTTTGACAGATATGATCCTACTGAAATGCTGTCTGAATGCTTATATTTGCTTAGGGTTTACTTGCATTTTCAGAGGAGTTGCATTACCCCAGTCCTTCATCGTGTGGATACAGCTAGAATCACAAGCGAAGGGATCCATCTTCTGCCTACATTCTTCATTTTTCTGTCTGTTTTCTTTAAGGAAGTTCTCTGGAGTTGCAGCAAAGGGCTGCTGCAGGAACCTGAAGAGCTGGGGTGCTGCAGGGCAAGTGTCCCTGTGTGCTGCCAAGCAGAGCTTATCTCCTGTGTGACTTCCAGGAGGGCTGTTGGTGGATTCCTGCATTAGGCTGCCAAAACCTGAGCTTTCTTACCGTAGAAATATCCTTATTCTGGCTTTCTCCAACCTAGATAACCAGTTCAGGATGTCAATATTGGAGCGACTTGAGCAGATGGAGAGGAGAATGGCTGAAATGACAGGCTCCCAGCAGCACAAGCAAGGAGTAGGAGGCGGGAGCAACGGGAGCGGGAATGGAGGAACGCAGGTACAGGTAGGAGCCCGCTGTGTCCAGACACGGCAGCTTTGTGCTTCCTTACCAGAGCTTGCTTTTGGGGAGGTTGGAAAGGATTATAGTTTCTCCTAAACAAGTCTGCTTTGTGGGTGTCTCTAACAGCAGTCAGCCTTCACTAGCGTTTGCCACTGTCTGTAGAAGCGAAGGCGCCTGCTCAGGGCAGGTTGCAGCTCCCCTCAGTGGTTAAACTGGGATGTGTGTGGTGTTTCAGTGCGTTTCTGGGACTGGGACACTGGGCAGCTGCTTTGAGAGCCGCGTGGTGGTGGTGTGCGAGAAGATGATGAGTCGTGCTTGCTGGACAAAGTCCAAACACTTGATCCACTCAAAGACTTTCCGAGGAATGACACTGCTCCACCTAGCCGCTGCCCAGGGCTATGCTACACTGATCCAGACCCTCATCAAATGGCGGTAAGACCCAGCCCGTTGGACTCTTGGGTACAGGCATGGCAGAAGCATGCATAGGCTCTGCTCAGTCCATGTTTCTGGCTGTTCCTTACAAACAGCCAAGTCCCTGAACTTATTCCTGCCCCCTGATCTGACAGGACCCGTCTCTTGAGAGAGCGAGTCCAACCACTGGATGTATCGTGCTCTTAAAGGCTCTGGTGGGGGCACTGTCTGTAGTAAATACACGTGTCACGGGCACAGGCACGGACACTTCTTTGTGGTGCAGTGCTCTGGGGAAAGCCGTGCGTTTACACGATGATCCTGATATGGCTACAGAGCATCATTTGTTCTGCTGTTTCCTCTACAGCACCAAACATGCAGACAGCATCGATCTGGAGCTGGAAGTTGACCCTTTGAATGTGGATCATTTCTCCTGCACTCCGCTGGTAAGAGCAGAGACTGAAACTTCTGAGATAGTCAGAGGACCCTCTGGAGTTCTCCCTGATGTATTATTTTCCTGATGTGTTTCACACTGAAGAGTAGATGTTTCTTGCGTGTCCTTGCCGTGTAAATAGTAAGACATGGCATTACCAGCTTCCTGGCATTTTGTTGAGAGAGACCACACAGCAAAAACCTTGTTATTGAGTAACATGAGGAAAGGGGACAGATGGATGGTTCTGGCTTGTGTTTTACCCAAAATCTATTCTCCACTATCGTTCTGGGAAAAGGACTTTACAGGCCTTTTTTCAAGTTGCTCTCTTTGACTGATTGACTGTAGAATTTGTAAAGTGGTTGAAACGTCTTGGTCATTGGAATAATGAAATCATGACTGAGAACTTAGACAAGCAAAAAGCCAAAGCAGGTGGAACCAGAAGTGCCAGTTTACAACAGCAGTGTGTTGATTTTATTGTTCCCAACCTTTAGTCCTGTCTGTGTGTTTCTGATCTCAGAGACTCCTTTGCATATGAGGCTGTTCTGTCTCTGCAGTGATGCCAGTGTAAAAAAAAAAAGGCAAACCCTAGAAACGTTAATTACTAAATAAGAAACTGTCAAACTGTCAGCTTCGTTTGGCAGATGGAGGCTCCTCTGTCATAGGAGAGAATAGCATGCATCTCATCCTCTGGAATGGCCTTTTGTTGGCATAGGACATTTATAAAAGCCAGTTGCTGGGTTTGAAGCATGTTATGGTTTTGCTTGTCAGTCATTTTTCCATGAGCTGGCAACCAGACTCCACTGCATCAGCAAGAAAGGAAGGAGAAGGCCAGTCCCCAACGGGTCAGTTGTCTGCTCTTTTTCAGATGTGGGCGTGTGCCCTGGGCCACATGGACGCAGCCGTCGTGCTGTACAAGTGGGACCGCCGAGCCATCTCCATCCCTGACTCCCTCGGGAGGCTGCCGCTGGCCATCGCACGCTCTCGGGGCCACGTGAAGCTGGCAGAGTGCTTGGAGCAGCTACAGCGAGATGAGCAAACTCAAATCGGGCAAAACCCCAGGATTCAGTGCCCCTCAAGCACAGACTCCAGTGCAGAGAACTGGGTGTCCCAGTGGCACAGCGAGCTGATTGCCTCTCAGGAGCCGCAGAAGGGAGTCACTGTGATTTCCAGTACAAACACAGGTAAAACAGCCCTGAGGGCAAGCACTGCTTCGCTGACATTTGGCAGGTGAAAACCTGGGGGCAAGGAGCTCACCTGGGCGGCAGATGCCACCTGTAGCCCTGCTGTCTGCTCAGGGCTTCTCATGGGGACTCTGTCAGGTGCTTCGTGCCCTTGCACAAGTATTGGGGAGAGGAACAAATCCTTCTTTGGAAAGACGTGTGTATCTTGAGAGTGGTTGAGGCAGCATCCTCCCTGGGGGGTTGTTACTCCCTTTACACGTACTGCCGGGAGTCCTAGAGCACGGCACAACCTCCCGCCTGGGCTCTGAGACAGAAGCTGTTGTAGTTCTTAGAGCAGTCATGGGTTGTGTATTTGATTTTGACCATCGATCTGTTTTTTTCCAGAGCTGAGACGACCAAGATCAGAACCTTCCAGTTACTACAGTAGTGAAACTCAGAAAGATTACCCTGCACCCAAAAAACATAAGCTGAGCCCTGAATATTTTCAAGCCCGGCAAGAGAAGCTGCTTTCCACTGCGCTGAGCCTGGAACAGCCAAGCATCAGGAAGCAGAACTCCAGCTCTAAGCAATCCGCCACTGAGACAATCAGCCCCAGTGAAGGGATAAGGGACTATGGCCGGGAGCTCTCCCAGCACATCCCAGAGGTTACTGGGTACCGGGGCTCTAGCAGCCAAGCAGGTGTCAAATGGAACCCAAAAGACATTTACATTGGTGTGTCTGCAGTGCAGGTGGCAGGGAGCCAGAAAGGAGCTGCGCTGGGGAAGGACACAGTAGCCCATCGGCTACGCCAGCGGGAGCAGATGAACGTGCTGATGATGGCTGACAGGGAGATGGTGGACGCGGAGCTCTTGTCCTACAGGGACAGCGCAGGGGATGAGGACTGCTTACACCACATGGATGACTTGCAGGTAAACACACCTCTGACTCCAGGATCAGCGCTCTGAGTGGTGGCTGCCCAGAGGAGCCCAGCTGTGAGAAACTTCTGTGGAGGCCTTTAGAGACTGGACTGTGCTTTGTGAAGGGAGGCAGTCACACGGTCATCATGGGCTTCCCTCCAGTTCAGAGGGTATTCCGTCAGCCCAAACTCCTCCTGATGGCTGGTGTTTAGGGTCATGCTCTGGCGTAAGCTTCAACAGCATGCAGAATTCACACAACTGCAATTTTGCAAGGAAAAAGGAAGAGGCAGAGCCTCCTGGTCACACCCATAAACAAGACTAAGGTGGCCCCATAGTCCTTCGGGAACGGGGAAGCAGTCCCTATGAAGACAGGGTGACCCGAGAGAGGCAAGGCTGTGGTTGTAGGCCAAGCCGCTGCACTCAGGGGCAAGGAGATAAAAGTGGAGAAGGGGATAGATGGTGGGCTTGGGGGCAGGGAAAATCCCACTAGGTATGGAGTAGAGGAAATAAAAACACACCAGAAGCAGGACAGGCGGATGAGTAGTGCCTGGGGAAAGGTACTGGGTTTGGTGTTCTGAGTGAAAAGAGTAATGGGGAGCTCAGCCCACGTGCGCTGCCGTGGCAGCTCTGAGTATTCTCACCTTGCTGGCATAGCACGGAGGAAGCAGATCTTTCAAAACAAGAACTGTTCTGTGTTAAAAATTCCCGTGAACCTTGGCAGGTGGCAGGGTACATTTCAGTATTCCTGACAAAGCTGTGGTCCAAGGGTTTTACCTTTTCTGGGTGTGCCTTTATTGTCCCGTCATGCTCTGCTGCACATCTTGGCAAAAGGGTGGCGAGATCCTCTGGCAGTGGGACAGTGACAGCTGACAGCAGCACACAGCAAAGGTCCAGGGCTTCGACCTTGCACCTCATCTCTTCGGCTCTCAGTGAAAAGAGGTCTGGGGAATATGAAACCCTGCACTGCTTTGGCAGAAGAGGCAGGAAAGCAAATGAGCTTTGGTTAATGAATTTTTTCCCAGTGCTGAGACAAACAGTAGACTCCAGCTCCCACAAGTTTGGGGAGAATGGAGCAGTCTGTCTAAAGCTGAGCTGTAACATGCAAGCACAAGGCTCCTGCCAGCAGGCAGCAAAAGTGTGCTCTCCTCTCCCCCTCTCCAGGTGAACATGATGACACTTGCAGAGCACATTATTGAAGCTACGCCTGACAGGATCAAGCGGGAAAATTTTGTGCCAATGGAGTCACCACTGGTGGAGAGAACAGAGAGTGCTACCATGAGCACCACAATGAGCTGGCTGGCCAGTTACCTTGCTGATGTCGATCATCTGCCCAGTGCTGCACAGATCAGGTCAGTGAGAGCAGTGGGGCCGCTCGGGGTTCGGCGCGGTCTGGATGCTGGGCAGCATGCGCTGGGTCTCCAGCCTGCAGGTGCCACTTCACAGCGGGGCTTAGTGCTGGCGTGCCCAGCCCAGCCACGCTCCCGTGGTCAGACGTATCGTGGCTGGCACAGCCACAGATCCCTGACAGAACGGGAGTGTGTGTGGCAGGAGGGCAAGGGGCCACGGGGTCTGAGTTGTGGCTCCTCTCCCTGCGCCAAGGCTGCGCGGAGCAGCACGGGCAGGCGCAGGAGTGTGGGGTGTCGCTTGGAGAGCAGGAGGGGAGTGGGAGCTTCTGCCTTGACCTCAGGAGTTGTTGTAGTCCTTATCTGTGATGCCAGCCCGGGTGCTTCGTGAACCAATAATTCCTACTGTGATTGGTATTTCAGAAGTCTGTATAGTGAACCCTTGACCCCTTCTTCGAACACCAGCTTGAGCCCTGCTGGCTCACCAATCAGTGAAATAGCTTTTGAGAAACCCAGCCTTCCCTCGGCAGCAGATTGGTCTGAATTTCTGAGTGCATCCACCAGCGAGAAGGTAGAAAATGAGTTTGCACAGTTAACTCTGTCTGATCATGAGCAGAGAGAACTCTATGAAGCTGCCAAACTCGTCCAGACAGTGTTCAGGAAATACAAGGTACGTGGCCCAAACGTCCAGCATCTCCCTTGTTAGGTGTGAGAGTGTGTAATTTGTTACAAAGCAAAATGTGGATAATGCTCACTCCTGGGACAAAAACACAGTTTCTCCTATAACCTTTTCAGAGCTTCTGGCATCTGCTTGTTGATGTTCACTCAGCAACTACCATGCTTGCCATGCCATAGCATCCTTCTGTGCTAGAAGGATGGTCGGAACAGCACTCACAAAGCATATCCTCAAAACACACCCCAGAGGTTCTGGTTAGTTGCCTGCTTGGTGTAAAGATGAATTTCGAGGGTTTGTCCCTCATGCATAGAGACATCTCCAGGAAGTGCCTTGGCCTGAATTGAACCAGGTAGCACTGGTAGAAGAGATTCAGAAGCAGGTGCTCTACAAGCTGCTGCGAGCCTTTTAACATTATCTGTCCTGGTTTTTGGTGAACTCTAACTACTTTCTGCTTCTTTCCTTCTCAACACAGGGTCGTCCTCTCCGGGAACAGCAGGAGGTGGCTGCCGCTGTTATTCAGCGTTGCTACCGAAAATACAAACAGGTAATCAAGGAAGTGAGATTTTGACACACATGTAAGTGCCGTGAACACAGCCCTTTAGAATGGGAATTATCCCATCTTGTATGCTTTTCAGCATGCAGTAATGAAATACCCTGCTCGGGCAAAACCAAAAAGGGGAGAAAATCCATGTCCTGAATCTTATTTTTCGAGGGAATCCTTGAAAGGATTTTGTTTGTGATGGCACCTGCATTTTTGCTATGAGATAGAGGGCAATGGTGTATTCCACATTGGCCTTTATGCATGCTATAGCCTGGTGAGACTGTCCTCTGACTAGTTGCTTGCCAAATTTCATTGTGAAATTGAAGTTGGTTTCGCCTTTGATAAAGGCAGAGATGAAAAACAGGTTGTTTTATTTTGCACATACTAAACTTTTAAACGATGGGAAGTCACGTGTTTTAGCTTGATGTGAGTTGTTCCAGGACTGAGACTGTTCTCCAGACTCTAGTTGGAGACATGCTTTTAGGCTGAGTTCTCAACCCCAGAAGAAGAAGATACTTTTTCCTTCTTGGCTTTTGGTTGGTTTGGGTTTGGTTTTGGTTTTTTTGAGGGGGTGGGGGGTGGCCAGAGCCCACGTCCCTCTTTTCCACTGTACCCTGCTGGATTCAAGCTGCCTGGTGGCCTGTTACGTAAAGTGAAAGGCAAGGTGCCTGTGCTCTTTTACAGCCTTCAGAAAGGTTTTCTGGGCAGCCTGGCTAGAGTTAGGTGACTGCATCATGATTCACATGCAGCCTGTCACATGGCTGTCATTCTGCATTGATGCTTCCTGTAATAGGGAAGCTTAATTCCTTTCAAAAACTGCTTGACAAACTGCTTTGTCTTGGATCCTGGAATTGCTTCTTTTTGAAAGAAGATGGTTTGGTTTTTTTTATTTTTTCATTCTTTATTTGCAGAACTAACATTAACTGTGTATTTTTCTGTTTCTCCCTAAGCTTACTTGGATAGCCTTGAAGGTAATACAAATACAAACATTTTGGAAACAATTCCCCATGGGTCACTAACTTTCACATTCAATATGAACCAGGATAACCTGGCATTTAGAGAAATGTTTTAATAATAGCCACTAATAAATACCTGTGGTTAAGAAATCACTGACAAACCAAACCTAATGGGAGATACATAGGGGCTGCCATGCCACAGCATATCAACATGGTAGTACAACAGAAAACGATAAGAAATGTCTCCTGGTTGTACAGGTACTTACCTAAGCAGTGATGGGCTGAGGTGCGGGGAAGGTTTTTGAAGGCAGTTTCTGGAGGACAAGCTTTTCCTTGGTTGCTGCTGCTGAGCTGTTGCTCGGTGATCTTTGCCTTGGCGTTCGGGGAGCGCAGGAGAACGTTTGTCCCACCCACCCACCAAGAGCTGGTGTCCCCTGTGTTCTGCTGCCTGCCAAAGTATTTTGAACATTCATCTCTGAAATACCTGTGCCCTGAATTCCTAAGGCCACCGTCTCATGTATGCTGCTGCTCACTGGAGGCACAGCTGTCTGCCAGTCCGAAACTGTCCATGGCCAGTAATTCTCTCTGTAAAGGTGGATTTCCCAGCTGTGCGTGTCCTGCCCTCATCAGATACTAGAATCAGCTGAGCTTTTCTCAGAGCTGCCCGGGGGACGAGGCTGCTCTTCCTGGACAGGGGGTGTCCTCAGGGTAATTTCCATCCACAGCTTCCTCCTGCACTGTGGTTTGTGTCAGTCCAAGTGCTGTTCTGTCAGCAGGGCACTGTACTCGCTGGGGGTTACCACAGGGCTCAGGGCACTTCTCTGCTTATCCTTTGCCTGGCTGGAGGCAAAAACGAGGAGAAGGGAGCGGCTCATTGGTTAAGTGGGTCTTAAGAGTTGAACGCAAACATTGGGGTCGAGTCTATCCAGTGACTGCTGTTTTCCCTTTCACATGCCTCATTCCTCCGTTCTGTTACTGTACTGCTGAGCTCAGCACAGGCTCATGACTAATTTGAACAGTCATAGCTCACGTCACCGTTTGTATTTGGACCCTTCTATTCAGGGGTTTGTAACTCAGCCACAGAAGTCCCATCTGGGCTAAGAACTTGAAGGAAAACCATGACCAGCCCACAAGTGGACTTATTTAAAATAGCTAATTTAAAACCACAATCTGATCCATTTAATTTAAAATGTTGAAATAAACCCAAGAAAACAACAACAAAAAAAACAGTGGAAATTAATAATGGCAAAATATAACTGCACCTAATGACTGCTTCAATTCCAGAAAGTGAAATTTGGTAAATAGTGGTCTGTGATGATATTGGAGGGGTTTTTGCTTTGGACTAATGTTGGGGGGAGTTGTGTGTGTTTGTCTGCTTTTTGGGTTTTTTTCCCAATAGACGGTAAAACTCCACTGAGACATGTTAGGACATTACCCTATACAGGGCAGTGACTGCTATTTCTGTGTCTCATCTGTCTGATAAAGTGAGCAGAAGTGACAGCTGATAAAATATCCAGGAACAACAGACACATAAGTTTTGAAAGTGCTAAAACTTTCAAGATAAGATAAGTAAACACTGAAAACCACTGTCATGGTGCTAGTTTAGAGGTGTAAGTGCAACTTCTGTACATTATTCTACATCTCTATCTTAAAAAGTACTTTTAAAAATATGCATGAGTGTATATGGCTTCTATTAAGTGGTCCTCTACTTGTGTGCTTTTTAAAGGAAGAGGCTGTAGAATAAAGATACTAAGAGTTTGTGCCTGCTTTATTTAGAATCACGGGGCTAGAAATAATATGGTGCTAGAGGGAATTTCGGATGTGTGTGACTGCTCATGCAAATCTGCAAGTTCAGTGTGTGCTTGTTACAGACATAATGAGATGTAGTTTTGTCTGTGACTTAGGGTCAGTGTTAGGCTTGGTGAGTTTGGGGTTTTGTTTGTTTGTTTTAAGTTAGATTCGTATGTTATTCCATTTGAAATGCTTGGATTTAAATGGATATATGAGCAATCAAAGCTTTTGCAGTGTTGTGTTATGGCATAGAAACAAGAAATGAGCTGTTTAAAAGTTAATTGTCCTAAGAAAGCAGAATACATGTGTGAACAGCAAATGGTTATTTTTTAAATGAAGATACGAAAAGGTGTGTTTTGATTAATTTATTGGCATTTTGGAATAGTCATTCACACTGCTTTCTGCTTTTAATCACTGAGCTGGGCGTATTTTGCTGCTGCTGTTACGAGTCTTTGCAAACAATGGCTGCAGAGAAATGAGCATCCTGTGCTCTGTCACGAGGTTCCTGTAGGCCACGAAGGGAACAGTTCCTCTAGGTGCAGACAGTCGTTTCTCTAACGCAGACCTGATGCGGTACGGGCACGAAGCAGTGTAAACACGACTCGGGATCAGCTCCAGCTGTTCCCAAGTTGCTCCCAAGTGTGGCACAGCTGGATCTGGTCATTCACATGTACATGCAGAGCCTCTGCTAGCTAAGTTAAATAAAACCTCGGGGGGCTGGAGCACTCCCTGTGAGGACAGGCTGAGAGTTGGGGGGTTCAGCTGGAGGAGAGAAGGCTCCGGTGAGACCTTAGAGTGGCCCCCCAGGGCTGAAAGGGGCTGCAGGAAAGGGGGGGACAAAGATTTTACCAGGGCCTGTAGCAATAGGACAAGGGGTGATGGTTTTAAAGATTTAAATGTTTTTTCAGGTTTAGACTAGATATAGGAAGAAATTTTTTACAACGAGGGTGGTGAGGCACTGGAACAAGTTGCCCAGAGAAGGTGGTAGATGGCCCCTCCCTGGAAGGGTTCAAGTCCAGGTTGGACGGGCCCTTTTCTTGCACAGTTCCCAAACAGTGAGCAAATTCTCATTTGCTTCTCGTCATATCTTAGTGGCACAAGAGTCTTTCACCATAGGAATCTGCTTCTTGCTGGCTTTCTTGGAATGCCTCAGCTTCTCTTTGTTTCTCTTGTAGTATGCACTTTATAAAAAGATGACACAAGCTGCCATTCTTATCCAGAGTAAATTCCGAAGTTATTATGAGCAGAAAAAATTCCAGCAGAGCCGACGAGCCGCGATGCTGATCCAGCAGTACTATCGCAGCTACAAAGAATGTGGGAAGAGGAGGCAAAACCGTCGGGCAGCCACCATTGTACAACAGAAACTCAGGTGAGCTGTTGATGCTGGGTGCTACTGGGATATTTATGTCTTGTTTTTATGCTCGTCAGGGCTGTGCTGTAATTTACAGACAAAGGTCACTGAGAAAAGAACAGTGGTTCATAGGATAATTATTCTTGTATTTAGCATTATTTTCCCCAGTTTCGCCTACACTTCAGTGTTGGGGGTTTTTTTTTGTGTTTAGAAGCAGTCTGCTTACGAAGAAGCAGGATCAAGCTGCTCGCAAGATTATGCGGTTTTTACGACGCTGCCGCCACAGGTATGACGCTATCTTATGTTACCTGCCCTTCACTAGAGCAGCATAACAATTCTCAAGTGTGTCATCAATGTCAAGTATGATAGAATCAGCTCACCTCAGGTCTTCTAATCAAATAGTGAAGCCTAACTGCTTCCAAGAAATACTGACAAAAATTAAATCTCTAACTTAGGGCTGTTCAGCTCCCTGCTGATATGGTAAAGCAGCCTAGGTTGGGTTGGGAAGACTCAGAATAAGGAAGCTTTGAGCAAAGGCACATGACTTTAAAAGCTGGACTTCAGGAAGTCTGAAAAAAAGCTTGCTGAATCACAGGTACAGCTTGTAAGTGGTGCACGAAGCATTCATGGTATGTGAGAGTGCAAAATCTGACACATCTGGTGTACAGTGGAAATGCCTTCAGTTTGGTCACGGGGTCATTTGGTAAACTCTCATCAAACAGAGATTCTTAATGCGGGTAGGTGGAATGTGCCAACGAGCAGCAGCCAGGTTAGCTCCCGCCAGCCACTCCACACCCACCTCTGAGCTGGGAGTGCAGACACAGACACGGGGACTCGTCCTCTGCCGGCTCCCAGGGCGCTCGCATGTGGCAGCTGGTGCTGCTGTACTGGTGCTCTGCTCCACGCAGGGCTTGGTTTGATTTTTCAGTGAAAGGATCCCATATATGATCAGGTTGCAAACTGGAACTTTGCCTAGACAAAAGTGATTTCAGATGTTTCTGACTCTGCTCCCTCCATTCTCGCCACACATACATTTCATCCACTCAGAAGCTGGTTAGACCTGATGCATTGTGTAGCTTGTCTAGTTCAGTCCAGGAATGTTTGAACAAGGAGAGGCATGTGATAAACTTGATTTTAGAGACAGACTTGGTTCTTTTTGTAGGATTTCAGAGCTGCAGTTTGCAGGAGGTCAGTGTGGCTCATGTTGTGGAAGGACATCTTAACCTGCAGGTTCAGGTCAAGTAACGTGTGGACAAGAAAGAGGGCTATATAGTGTGCAGGCCAATTCCAAATGCACTTGAAACAGCCCCAGTTGTTGATGAAGCAGCGCAGTCAGCTTCTTGCTCTCAGCAGGGCATGTGGAAGAGACCAAAAGGTTTGTTTTGTTGTGTTTGTTGGGCAGCAAGTCCTGCTGGAGCAGGTGGAGGTTTGGAACTTCTGTATCCCCTCAGATCTGCCTGAGATCCGGGCAGTCCCTGGGAAAGCCACATGCCTGTTTCCATCTGTGGAGGCTCTGGGGTCAGTCTGCCAGAGGCTTTTGTAGCCCACTCATGCACAAGCCCAGAGAATGCCTCACGACTAGCTGTATCCTTGGGTTTCCCATCAATGTCCAGGATGTACCATGCTCTTCCACCCCACTCAGTTAAGTTTCTTGCTGTTGAGTAACCTAGATTCTCATGTCTGTGATTCAAGCAGATTTTCTTGCCTTCAGCTCATTGCCTTCCTCTTTCTCAGCATCTCCTGTTTCCTGTGAGAGCGAGACCCTACTCATTGGCATCACCGAAGCTTGCAGGCAAGACCCTTCCCTTTGCCTGTGGTCAATCTCTTCAGCGAGTGCGGTCGCTGCTGCTGTGCGTCTCTGGGAGACGGGTTTAGGTCTTGGGTATTTATAGACAGGAAGTAAAAATCGGGGGGGGATCCACTGTCTGGAGGCTTCCTCTGGCTTACGTCACACTGCGCAGAACTCGGATTTCTGCAGCAGTGCAGCCCTGTCTGTGTCCACAGGCACTTGGACAGCGGTTGTGCTTACTTGGGAATTCATCTGTGGTTCTTGGCGAGGACACAACAAAAGAAAAAAGTAACTGATTTCCCCTGAGGATCTTAATTGTGTTTCAAAACTGCCTTGCTTTTCCTTCTGAGATAAAAATGATCACACATTTGTGGGCATGTACTTTCTCTAAGCAATCATAAGGGTTTAAAACTGTGTTACTGTAACTAATATTAATAGTTGACACAATTTTAACCAGAGGAGCATTCTGGCATTGGCAAATGCTGAAAAGAAAAACAAGACTTACCAAAATGACAAACCCAGCATTTAGAATCTGCTCGAAAAAAACATAAATTTACCGGCCTACCAGATTTACAAAACTGTCTAGAAATGTGGCAGGTTTGGGTCTCTTTCCCTGTATTACTCCAGCTTGCCAAAAAAAGCTCCAGCAAGCAGTTGAAGAAGGATGTTTTCCAAAACACCGCATGCTCTGTGCACTTAGGCTGCATCTGTGAGCCTGGGAACGCGCTGCAGGAGCGTCTCTCAGACCTTGAGCTCTCCTGGCCGCCGGCACCGCACAGAGCAATCTTGTCCCTGTGCATGTTTGCACTCAGCAAAGAAAACACAAATCAGGTTCTTGGAGCTTGATTACCACACGGGATTTTGAAGACACAGATTCAAGTCTTTTGCTTGTGTAAACAACTGCAAGGGAAAAATATAATACTGGAAATGATACAGATCTGCTTATGAAAACAGCTTCACTTGCTTCAGCGTCTCAGCTGACTCAAACAGACCTATGTGCTTCTTTCCCCCTGCCCCGAGGGGAGGCCCGGGCGCTTTCCCCAGCCCAGCTGTGTCCTGGCGAGCCACCCGCGTCCGTTCCTTCCCGAGCTTGGCTGCACAACCCTGCTCTGAGCCGCCCTCTTGGTGCTGCATGTGCACTGGGCTGCCGGGCGGAACGCGAGGGAGCTGCTTCCTTCTCAGCTGCTCTTATTAAAGCTTTCTGAGTTTTCATTTGTGTCTTAATTACATTTATTCCTCACTGCCTGACTTTTCTTGCTTACCTCTTTCTGAGGATAGAGTAACACAACCTAGGATGTTAAGTAAGGCCAACACCACCTCTGTGTAAGCCTCCTGATTGTACCTGTTCAGTCCCCGGCGCGTCCTGCGTACCGGCTCGCCCAGGGTGCAGCTGGCACTAACAGCCCCACACCCTGTTCAGGAGTACTGCTTCTTGGAATCCTATCACAGACTGCTCTTGAAATGCTCAAAATCAGCACACTGCTGCTATAAACAAGAGACTAGGAAAGCCCCAGGCTCCGTAAAGAAATACTTCAGCCATCCAGGCTCCTGGACATCCAGGGGCAAGCCGTAATGACTAACACCTGATGTTATTTAATGCTCTGTAGCATGAAAACAGCCCTATGGGGCCACTTGTTAAACCACAGTGCCTTGTCAGTACAAGGGGTAGAAATGACAGATATTTTTGGAAAGTCTGAGGGAGTGAGAGAAAAGAGAGCATGCACAGGAACATCAAAGAAAGGGGATCTTGTAGCAAATTTGTCAGCTGATAGAGGTGGGAGAGGAGGCTGTAAAAAGCCACTTGCAGTCTGTTGCAAGGATAATGAGCTAAGTGAAAAGGCAGTAAATTCTTAAAAATTTGGAGATTCACCCTTAAAAGAAACGAAACTGTTTAACCTAGGTTTTTGTCCACAAGCAGGTTCTGTTGCTGGGCCAATAAACCACTCCTTATTAAGAGCTTATTTTGTAGCCTTTAGGCAAGATTTACTCAGGCATCCCCCTTGCAACCATCTGGTTGGTTGTTTTTATCGTATTTTAAATTGATCAGAGCCTACTTCAAGCCAATAATGACAACTCTTTCTCAGCTAGCATTCAGGACAGCTTGGATGGTTGTCTTGTCCTATTTTGCTTATTAGTTTTTTGGCACAAAGGCTCAGTAGCACAAACATGATTCCTATCAGCTTGAGGATCTAGGCTGCACAGGCATGTTGGTCTCGTGTTTTCTGGTCTCCTGAACTTGTTGCATGAAGAGATGGTGTTACAGTTGTTTTGAGAGGGTTAATGAGAGAGGCTCTGCAGTTGGAGCTCTCTGTAATGGATGTGTAGACATGGATGAAAATCAGAAAAGAAATGTAAGTTTTGGTCGAATGCATTCTTAGAGAAGATATTGAGCTCTGGTAGCTGAGTGTTGTCAGGTGTCATGGAGACAAAAGTGGTCATTCATCAGCAGCAGTCATTCTGACAGTCAGATGTATCGTTTCCTTCTGACTTTGGAAAAATATATTTATCCATCTATGTCATATTCTCAAAAACGTGATGAAAAACATGCATCTGCCATAACATGGTATCAACATGACTTGTCACAGAAGTGTTGTTTGTTGAGAATGAGACACAGAAACTTCCTGGCCTCCCGGGAGAGCTTTGCCATCCATCAGGACCTGTTGGCTGGCACTTGACTAACTCACCCTAAAACTTGCCATTACACCTACTGCAAGTTGAGCTGTCTCCTGCACGCTGTCCTGAGAGACAGAACCAGGGTTTGTGTAGTTAATGGTTTTGGAAAGACTCCCCCTGCTTGGCGATCCCCAGATAGGACACATCTAGAGCCACAAGGAAGTGCAAGAGCTCCGAAGTGGGTTTGGGTTTGCTGAGCTGAATCCATGTGCGGTCCGTACAGTCAGCTCTCGCTGGGAAGGTAACCTCCAATTTCCTGTTCTTTCTCCAATTCTTAGGAAGATTTTACTCTTCTGAGAGGTGTCTCCACCATCGCTAGGCTGTGGTTGTTATCTGCAGTGTTTTTTATGGAGGAGCGTTTGGAATGAGGCAGAAAGCAGACGATTGCTGCAGGTGAAGGCAGGACGCAGCTAGAAATGCCATGGGGGTGACAGTACGGGGGTTATTTACTTGCTTATTACTTCCTGCCCTAAAACACCTAAACATGGGACTGCTCATGCCTGGTCTGGTAAGGAGGAGGAGCCCAGTAGGCAGGAGTGGGAAGGGTTCTTTCTCTCCAGGCAAGCAGAAGTGTTGTCTCCTCCTCCCTGACGTGGAGCTCTTGGTAAGGTACGGTTATTGCCATGTGTGTGCTAATAGCTCTTTGGTATTGTTTTGCAATCTGAAGCCCACTGGTGGACCATAGGCTGTACAAAAGGGTGAGTGTAGCTGCCTGCTAGCCAGTTCCTCTCTTCCATTTTAAATATTTTTGCTTTCTGCTTGCTTGCATGGGGCTGCAGCCGAGATACGCCAGTAAGTTTCACCTCCATTAATGATACAAAACAGAATCCTGTATAAACTAACCCTACTGCAATGACTAACACTGCTGCTTTTATAACAGGTCGGAGCTCTGCAGTAGATGTTACCAATGCATGAATGTGTGAAAAAGGACATGTATATTCATCATGGGCATGCTTAGGCGGCATTGGTGGTGGGGTATTTTTCAGTATCCAAATGGCTGTTGTTAGATTTTGGAACTTCCTGGGGTCCGTGCTCACGCACGCTCAATGAGTAACGATGTCCTTTGTCGGGGGACTGCGCTCAGGGTAGATCCCAGGCGGCTGCGGTACAGAGGCAGCCTGTTCTGGATGGGTGGGTGTTTCTGCACGAGCCGGAGAGGAGCAGAAGAGCTCTTCACACTGCTTGTTACTCCCTCAGCTGGTTAAGCACCAAGCTGTTTGTGGGCATGGTGGGAAGGAAACCAAACAATCCTGCAGCGAAGACGCTGTACGTGCGCTATAGCGAGTGCCGAGCGGGCCGCTGGCTGCTGCAGCGGCGGAGCGCTCCCGCGGCGAGCAGGGCGTGCTGTGGCTTTCTGGGCACGTGCCAGAGTTGGCAGCAGGGCTGCTCAGCACCACCTTGCATTTGAGAGGTCGCAGGACAGCAGCGTTACCCTTTGTCAATCTGCAGCCAGACAGAATACCAACAAGGGAGGAGAGGCAGAGGCAGGGCTGACCTGGACTCCTGCTTCCATGTAACATTCAGAAAAGAAAACTGAATCGTTGAGCATGGAGTTTTTTTCTGACTTTGATTTGCAGAGATTATTTTTGTGATTTAGGAGTGAGTGTGTGAGTTGGGCTTAAGCCTGCTGGAGGCATTGCTATTTGTTTAACTATTGATACTGAAAAAAAAAAGCAATAGCTAATGACATTTCTTTCCAAACTACAACTTCTGTGCTACTGCTTTTTGTTGCATATTCTGAGCTTTTTACAAGTAACAATTTGAGTTCTTAACTAATGACAAGAAAGAACTGGATGAAATGGGGACAAAGGCCCAGATGTGCTTTAATTGTTTAAGTGCGACTTGGATGGATCTTGTCCTAGTGAAGAGAAACATTACCCCTGATTGCAGAGGTGCTGTGAAGTTGTTAGCTGGAAAGCTGTACCTCTGGGTCTTGGCATGTATGCTAATGTGCTTTACAACTATTGCAGGTTAACTTGGGAAGTGTGTAACAGGAGCTTGTGTTCTCATAATGGTGGACTGACTGGATGACTTGTTTATATAAACCTGATGCTTTGTGTATAAGTAGGGCTGGTAATTTTTGGTCTACAGTTGGGTGTCTTGTTTCAGCCTCTTGAAGAAAAACATAGTTTGGTTTTGAAAAACAAAATTCACTGTAGGTTCAAAAAAAAAAGTCATTCTGCTTGGATAGATTGACCTCCCTCTGTTGTAAGGATGTGTCTATTTTTATACAAAAAAAACACGAGCAGGTTTAACCATCCTTAACCTTGGGGTCAGTTACTGCGTCTGTGGGGCAGTAGCGAGTGCTGCAGACAAAGGACATGTCACCTCAAGACAAAGGAGCAGCACTCCCTCCCTCCCGGCAGCGTCCTCGCCCTCCTCTGCCCGCGCTGGGCCCGAGCCAGGAGCTGCAGGTCCCCAGCCCCGGGTGTGTGAGCGCGGAGCCGGCCCAGCAGCCGCCCGGCACCTCGGGGCGGTGGGACAGGAGGGGAGCAAGGCCTGTGCCAGCCGGAGCGGAGGATGCTCCCGCTCTGTCTTCTCTGTCGGCAGAAGCTGGATGCCGCGGTCCTGGCGGGGTGTGGAGCCTTTCAGAAGCACTGATCACTGGTGCTAGATAGGAGCTGCAGGAGCAGAAGAGACAGACAAATGTTTTTCTCCCTGCACTGTCTCAGGCTTGTCCAGCAGCTTCCTGGTGAGACCCATTCTCTAACGCTGCTTGGAGATAATGGGTGTCTCCCAGCCTTCCCTGGCTTTGTCTGGCCAGCCGTGGGCCCTGTCACACAGTAAGAAAAGGGACTGTGTGCGTGTCTGCCGGCACTGGTGCGCCCAGAATACACCCCTGTCTCCAGCCCCTCCTGGTACTGCCGTTTTGGTGCTCTCTTCTCAGCCTTCCTTCCCTCTGGGGAACTCCTGCTGTGCTGCTGTGGCTGGGTCACCCGCAGATCCCCCGGCCGGGGCACCCGCAGCCCTGGGAGCGGCGCAGGCCAGGAGCTGCGCTCCCCGCTGGCAGCACTGGGGTAACCTCTGCGCGCCAGGCTGGAGGGGATGTGTCCTTAAACCTTTGTTCTGTGAATAGGAGAAATAATATAAACTGAAATGTGCACACCAGAGCGGGCCGGTTGGCGTGAACGTAGAAGAGTAAAGCGATGGTGCTGTTGTGCCTTTCCAGTCAGGGCTGGGGCTCCTGCTAAGAGAGCAGATGCACGCTACAGCCTCAAGATGCACCAAAACTGGCCTGAGTTGTGCCGTCGGTGCTCAGGTGAGGGGACTGTAGAGAGGAGCAAGCGCAGGGTCCAGGCCCGTGGCCTGTGCTCGGCTCCCTCCCGGGGCCCAGCGGGGCTGAGGCACTCTCTGGATCCCGCGCGGTGACGCTGCCGCGGGCGCAGCTGACGGCCGCTTGTCGGCGTCAGGGGAAGGATGGTTGTTGCACTTCAAGGCTTTGTGTGTGTAACAGCCTATGAGAAATTAGCAGGAAGCAGATTCTGGAAGTTTAGTAGGTTTGCAGGTTTTGCCTCAAATGGCAGGTGATGTGGGATTGGTGGGGAAATGGGGGAGTTCTCTGATTACCTGGAAAAAGTAAGCTATGAACTGTCACAAAAGAAAAAAGCTGCTGTTCTGCCAAGATAAGTCTGTTCAGCAAATTATTTTTGCTGCTTTGCTGATAGCAACCTGTGTGCGTACGCTGCTGGCGTGCATGCACATAAGAAAAGTATCTGTGGGCCTTCTGATGAGCGCAGACGTGCCCGTGTCTGCTGACGGAGCACTTGCACGTACGTGTGTCTGCGGTCACCGATCCGTGTGCTCCGGACACGGACACCCTGCTGACCTAGGCTGCGTGTGCGCATAAACGATCGCAACAATTGCTTCCATGTTTCCGTTTGAAAACCTCTTTCCAAATTGATTTCATTATTTTTTCCAGATTTACTCGGGTTACATTACACCAGGATCAGTAAAGAGGGAGAGGTGGGAGATTTTATTGGCCAAATTGTGAGACAGAATTTCCTATCTTTCTGTGGCAGAAATTAAAAGACTTTCTAGAAAAAAAACAAAGAGTTACTATTGCCTTGAAGTAATAGTTTTCATCTGAGGGGAAGCCACTCCAGTGGAGAGCCCCGCTAATGGCAGTGCCAGCTACACGGGCGTCCCACCACCCGCTGCAGCCCCTTGCAGGAGAGCTCTGCTCCAGTCCGGGTGCAGGCACGAGCAGACCGTGACCCGTGGCCGCGCTCCTGGCGCCGGTGGTGGATTGCGGGGAGCGAGGCTCTTCCTGTCCTTAGGCCAGCAGATTGCTTGCTGCTGGCAGCAGAACTTCTGTCCTCTCTGGGGCGGAGCAAGTGCACTTGTACCTGTATCACGAGTGGTAACGAATGTATTCATTCATGGCATCTTTCATTTAAAAATAGTTGCCCTCACCCACACCCCGTTTCTTAGCTCTGATCAACCGCTGCTCTCCGGTTTGGGGAGTGCGTGTAACGCCCGAGGTCACTTTCTCTGGTAAGTACAACTTTATTTCATACCTGAATAAACAACATCTACTATGTTTTGTTGTTCTCTGCATACGCTTCCCTCTCTTGGCATTTCAGCAACAAAGCCTCTCCTGCTCCCGTGTACCTGGGACTTGTATTTTTTGTGTTTTTAATGTATGCTCTGCAGCAGCCGTTGCATTTAAGGACACGGTTTCTTACATCTCTTAGTAAGATTGAGAATGGGGGAAAAGTTTAAGGGATTGAAAAGTCCCGTTTGTTCAAGTTCAGGACAATGTGAGAAAATGTCATATTTAGATATGCGTCACTGTACCTGCAACAAAGGTTTTCAAAGTAATTTCTTTTTTCATTTACCTCTTGCAGGGGCTGAATGTATCTGGAGCTCAAATGTGTGTGTTAAATCGCAGATCGCGTGCTCTGGGGTGTTGTTCTTATTGGGCCTTTCTGTCTTTTTTGTTTTGCTGCCCAAATGAGATATCTGGAAAAAGGCAAGAGCTCCCTTTTCTTAAATATCCCACAGGCCATTTCAGCTCTCAGAGCAACAGGTAACTCGCCAGCCAGCCTTCTCTGGCTCCTGCACCCTCTCCTTTATACTGATCTTCAGCATTCAGACTCATTAAACATTTCCCTGGCTGGGCATTATGGAGTAAATCTGATGAAGCAGCTTTGTGTTACGCTTTACCCATGAAGCCATCGTTTGCTGTAACTTTTTCTGAGTAGGCCTAATCCATTTGCTGACACGCCCATAGAGGAGTGGGGAGGGCGCGTGGGGAGAGGAGCTGCTGCTCGCTTCTGGGGCTGTCGCTTTCTACATCGCTTCAGCACGTGTTGATGCAACCTCCTGTGCGGCGGCCAAGTAAGTAACGCGGTCCGAAGGGCAGAAGCTTTGTCTGGCTGGAGCAATCTGAGAGCCGGGACGTAGCTCCCAAGTGTCAGGGTTCAAAGCTCATAGTTGAAATTATCTTCTTTTCCCTTTCTGTGCGTCAGCACCATGGCTGATTCAGACACCTCATCAGTCACCTCTACTGCACGCGCTTTTCCATTCATGTGCTCCTCAGCAGCCGCTGAGGGAATGACTTTGTCCCTTAGAGGCCCTTACCATCTGGAGGAAGTGTTATCTGAGGAGGTTTTGGTCAAAGGCTTCAGCAGTGCAGAACCAAATCTACGGTCCTTGCGGTTCCGTGCACGGTGTCGTAGCTGCTGGAGTGGGAGGGTACTTCTTGTTGGAGTCTGGCAGCAGCCAGAGCCTGTTCCCCTCCCCGGTGCGTTCTGCCTTGCAGCGTGTGTCGCTGGAACCCTCCTCCCCTCCAGTGCCCGTGCGGCTGGCGGCCCTTCCAGAGTGACCCAAGCCAGCGTGCCTGTGCCTGCCGGCCTCTGGAGAGGGCTGCGTGCCATCCATCAGCTCTGCTGGTATTACTTGCTCTCAGTGTGCTCATTTCTTCTGGTATTTAAAAGTTGCACTGTAAGTCACCAAACTGGATTGAAACATCTTCCATAAGAACATCCTTTCTACTGTACCATTTGATAAATTCCAGTAGTGTTCCTTTTCCTCTTCTTAGAGCAGTTCATTAATGCTTGTGACTGAATGCTACACCTGGCCCTCTTCTGCCTGAATTGAGGAGTGGAAGAGACGAACCGCAGAAGATCGCTGCCTGGCATGAAGGCAATGCTGTGTTGTTGACTTAAAAGCTCTCCTAGTAGCACGTAGTGAACTTCTGTCTTCAAGGGTCCTAATTTGTCCAAAATTCTTCCCTGGTGAAACTTTATTTTAAACTGTATTTGAAAATTTAGAGGGTCTATTACATTGAGCACTAATGGAAAGGAAATGCTTGCTTCACACTCATGTTGGCACTGTATATTGTTGTAACCAAATCAAAGTACCACTGAGTGAGGAACTTACTCGAAGTGTGAAGTGAGGACTAAAAGGACTCCTAGGATACAGGAAATGCTGCAGTGCAGACTACCCAATAAAGAATTAGTTGGTTGAAAGCGATTAGGTTTAGGTTCTCTTGATAAAGCCATTCAGGGGCTTGTTTAAGAACAGTTACTCTAAATGATAAGTGGGTTACCTTGGTCTGGTACCTGGCTTGATGGGTGCGCGGGGGAAGCAGCCAGCGGTCCCGGCGCTGCAGCGCTTCCCCGTGGGGTCTGCCTGTGGATTCGCTGGTTACCGGCAGCAGGGAGAGGCGCTTGGCTCCCCCGGGCTGCACCACAGATCCCCCAGCTCCCCCGGGCTGCCAGCGCAGGGCAAGGGGAGAACTTCTCTGGCCTCCCCGCGCCAGCTCTTGGGGCGAGGAGCAGCGTCGTGCCGACCCGCACCCCCTCTCCATGTAACGTGCACAGTTATGTATGCCGAACACAGAGGTTAGTTTAAAAAAATGTCGTAGCTTAATAAATTCAGATGGCCGTCATCTTGAAGTTTTAAGTTTATAAATGCTGTGGAACACAGGGTTTGTTTTAAAATATTAGATACTGAGCATCACCTTCCAGTAATGTACCCGTGACAAATTTCAAAGTCTGTATCTTTGCCATAGGGAAATTCCGTGCTAGTAGCTGCTTGTGTTTTTAAGCAGTAATTATCATTGCACTTGCAACATCTTTATAAGCCTGAAAATCTGTAAACTGATGTAAAGCAGACTCGACCAAGGGCAGTGTTGCATATTTCTGAATAGGATCTGTAGTAGTGCAAATGTTGAGTGCTTTAGTAATTAACTTCCGTGGGCATGTGTGTTCAGTTAAACAGATTGAAGAGGTCTGCACCAGTACAGATGTTGCATGCTGTAGGTTGAAGTTTGCAGCAAAGCATGTCGTGCATTCTCCCAGCAAAGTGCTTTGTTAGTGTAGCCCGTGCATGTTGAGTGCTGAACAAAGGTATAGCATGTCTCAGTTAAAGAGCCACCAGCTTATCTAATGTGCATGTTCTCAGTAAGACATCTGTAATAACAGGTTAATTTTACATTACAGTACTGAAGTGCAACAGAAAACACTTGGAAGTTGCACTGCAAATCATGCATTAATTGATGGTATCTCAAACATAGTTAATTTAAGCCTTAAAATTACCTAGTGCACAGAGGCACCCCACGTTCTTCCAGCACAGCAGGGATCGTGGCTCACCTTCCGCTTCTGAGTGTTGCGGTAATAGCAATATTAGTTATTTCAAGGGACAGGCTACCCCTGGGCCAGACTCGGATTGCGGAGTTGTGCCGTAGCCCCTTGGATGTCGGGCTTCAGGCTCTGGAAGCGGCACGTGCATTTGGACTAGCAGAGCCCTCTGTCTTTCCATGCGTGGTATTCTCACAGTTGGTGGAATTAAGGTAACTAGCAAAGGCCTGACCTGCGTATTGGTTAGTGTGATTTATTCATCGACTCCTCTTTCCCCCAGTTTCACAAATAAAGGGAACAGACACCTTTGAGTGCTAGAGCTTTGAGTCAGCTAAAACCAAGAGTTAAAAGCAGCCAGCTCCCTTTGACTGTGATTCTGAGTAATAGTATGTGCAGAAAAGTGAATAAATGAAACGGTGAAATGGAGGTGTATTTATAGAGGTCAGTTTTTAGCCTCATCGTATCCTTGTGTCAGCGGGCTGGTGCGGGAGCCAAGAGGGGATGTGTGAGTGGCAGTCTGTGTACAGCAGCTGCAGACTGGCCTTGCTGCTGCTTGGCTCTCCCGACACCTTTTACTATCTGTTTACTCGGGCTTTGTTAAGGTCTCACTCGTAGTTGGATTGGCACACACAGTTCGTGGTACCACAGTTCTTGGTACTGTACCTCCGTCACTTGTCCTTTCAAGTTTTTGCCACGTCGGTTGGGCATGTCTGTGTTTTGCTAAATCCCCTCGATGTGGGCTCTGTTCTGCTCCTTTTGGGGACCCTCCCCAGCAGTAGCAGAGGGGGGGAGGCACATGGAGGCAGGTGGCAAAGGGGACGTGCTGCAGAGGAGCTCCCTGCTGAAGGAGGCAGAGCCACGTGCCCCAGGCTCCGCGGGGCCCCTGCCTTCAGGTTTCGGGGGCAGCACCCGAAGCCCCCAGGGGTGGTTCTGTCCCCTTTGCAGGGAGCATTCCCCGGCAGCAGCCAGCGCGTCAGCCTGCACAGAGGGTTGCTGCTGCTCCAGCATGGATGCAGAATTCTGCTTCACTTGATGGGATTGAAATGAGTCCCTTCATCCTTTTAATTTAATTTTCATTTCAGCTTTCAGGGATGATTTAGTTCTTGTGCTGACAAGTGCTAGAGGAGGTAACGTTCTGCATGCGTTTGAGGGAGTTGAGAAGCATTGGGCCGCAGCTAGGGAGAAGGACTCTTGGTGTTGTGGGTTCATCTCCCTTGGCACGCAGTGTCCTTCACTGTTGCCTGGGATAGGGTGGATCTGCCACGCACCACGTGCTAGAAAACGGCCGCTGGCACTGCAGTACGCACGGAGTCGATTACCTTCCTTCACCCCCGTACCAGTTCTTCCACTCACGTGTAAGCGCTTTCGTAGGTGAGAGTCCATACAACATCCAGCTGCCCGTGCAAGCACGACTGACTGAACGTTCCCCTGCTGTGCTGGGCGCGACACCGAGGTGTCCCCACCCGGGCCGTGTTGGGGGCCGGGGGCCGACACTGGAAAGCCCCTTTGCCGTAAGAGCCAGGGCAGCGGGCGGCTGCCGAGGCAGCTGATGGCCAGCAGCCAAAACCCCCACGCCAGTAAATAGGCCAGTTCCCGAGCAGAGTCTGGCTGTAGGCACAAACACCAGGAAGAGGCCATAGCTGGAGAGAAGCATCTCTCCCCACATGCGTCCTGTCTCGGATTTCGAGTGGCCCGTTCTTGCGCTTCCAACTGTTTGTGGTGTCAGGAACACACTGCCCTCCCGTCGTGTCGCTGGGAGCTGGCTCTTCTGCACGGGAGGTCAGAATGAGGAGTCGTTTTGATTTTTCTGTCTTGAAAGAGTCACAATAGAAGTGTTATATAGCTCCTCTTTGTTTTTTCAGAGTGAAAGAATTGAAAAAGGCCAAGGAACTTGAAGATACGCAGCAGCATCCCGTAGCAATGTGACATTGCTTTTCAGACTGTTTTCATTTTCTGTTTTTAGCAGAGACATACAACAACAACAACAAAAATACCCACTGCAGTTCTGGAAATACCAGCTGCAGGATTTTAACAGTAATGTTTTGGTCATTGCATTTGCACTTTCATGGACAACTTTTAATTTGTTCAGCAAGACATCTTGGAACTCAATCTTCTGTTGGATCATGGGGAAAACAAAAGACACCAGGAAGAAATTGTGAGTTGCTTCATTCTCCAAGAAGGAAGAAGCGATTAATTATCCTTTTCATATAGGGCTGTATTAAACAACATGTGGAACTGTACAAATATTATACCAAAAATATTGTTAAGAAAAGGTGGGAATGCACAAGCAACACAAGAATGCTGTTCCTGCACCTGTCAGTCATCTCCAAGAAACTGAAGCTTTGAGAGTCTCAGTGGAGGGGCTTAGATCAGTACATCTTTATTGGGTCCATGCATCCTCATTTCCTTCGCACTTCTGTCCTTTGTGTTTTATTTAAATCTCTACAGCACACTTAATGCAACTTTTTAAATCTGCAGGTTTTTAATACATCCCGTGGGAACTTACAGAAGGGGTTGGTGTGTGAGATAAACGGGTAATGCATGAGGAACGGAGAGAGCAGCTTAAGCAAGTTTTAAAAAGTTTTTTTGGTATTTTTACTAGAACCTGCAAACATATCAATTGTCATGTACTTTCTCTCATATTCAGCACTTTATTTTCTAGCCTTACTTTCATGTACTATTATTTTAATTAAGTTCTTAAAATAATTTGTCAAACATGTAGCTTTTTATCTTAAGTACTTGTCAAACCTTTTGTCATTTTGCAGAGTCACATACATATGTTGCCTGGACATTTTATACCACCTAAAGATCAGAGTGGTGCTGCATTCTGGCCAGTAAATTCCTTATTTTGGCTACTTCATCAAAATCTGGGCAGTTTCTGTATATATAGAAGGTAGAAATGGAAAATGAGAAAAAATATTTGAAAGGGAATATATTGATTAATTACTAAATATTTTATTCACAAAGGGTCAAAAACTTGGCAAGATAAAATTATTATTTGTATAGTTTTGTCTGAATGAACGAGAAGAGTGTGGATGTATTGTTTGTACATATTGTATATATTAAAACAAAGAGATATGTGCATGAACTCAAGAAAAAGAAATGAACAAAGCAAAGCATTAGTGGCTATGGTCTGTAAAATGAAACAAAAACTTTATTTCACTATAAGAAACTTTATTTTAAATGTTCTTTAGAAGAACATTTTTGCTAAAGCATGACTAAATGGCAAAAAAGAGCTACTGTATTTAGACTTAGGAAAAAAAGGCAGAGCAACATTACTTAAAAAAAAAAAAAAAAAAAAAAAGAAAAAAAAGGATATGTTTACATTTGATTTTGGCTACCAGGAGTTTGGTTTGGTTGGATTTAATTTATTTATTCCCTCCTTTTTTTTTCCCCCGTCTTTTTTTTTCTTTTTGCCAATGGTGCCAAGTAATGTGAATGCTAATATTGCTTAAGAAAATTAAGTTACTTTTGCAGAGCAGATAATCATAAGAGTACAAAAACCGTATCTAGCTTAACACCATACACTCACTCCAATAAAGAACACTTAGAATGAACATAAAATGAAAAAAAAAAAAAAAGAAAAAAAAGGATATGTTTACATTTGATTTTGGCTACCAGGAGTTTGGTTTGGTTGGATTTAATTTATTTATTCCCTCCTTTTTTTTTCCCCCGTCTTTTTTTTTCTTTTTGCCAATGGTGCCAAGTAATGTGAATGCTAATATTGCTTAAGAAAATTAAGTTACTTTTGCAGAGCAGATAATCATAAGAGTACAAAAACCGTATCTAGCTTAACACCATACACTCACTCCAATAAAGAACACTTAGAATGAACATAAAATGAAAAAAAAAAAAAAAGAAATAGTAAGAACGTAGAAAATATGTTTCACATTTTCATATCTCCTGCTGGAAGTCAGAAAATGTAATAAAAATTGCACAAAAAATTTAAAAAAATTAAGTAAAACTTAAAAAAAGATGCAAACTGATCTTGTAGGGGTGTCATGGTATATTGCTATTTCCACATAGTGAGGAGCCAAAGAAATTAGACTTTTTTAAATTGAACTACTAATTTAAAACTGTCACAAATTCTCGACAATGGGAACCAGGTTCTGATCTTGATTACACTGGAATGTAAGGGAAGAAACTCCTGAAGTCTGTCGTTACTGTGGGTCATGTACATGTGTCTGAGATCAGAAACTGCTCCCGTGTGTTTGTTTTGCTCTTGGCAGTTTAAAATTTCTGAATGGACTGGTGTAAATTTGAGATTGTTAGTTTTGGAATAGTTGTTCTTGCTTGATCCCGGCCACCAACTGCAATGTTTAAATGCGAGGCTTGTTGTGAAGCCTAAAAATATTCACACATAAGAAGCTTTTAAACTGGTGTCTTTAAAAGAAGAGTAAAAACAAAGATTGTGGCAAAAAAAAACTGGGGTCAGTGCTCTTGGTGCCTTTTCTATAATTGTACCTGTTTTTAATTACTTCTTTTCACTGCCAGCATTGAATTACAGTAGATGTGCTATAGCTCATTATCAGAATTCTCTTGTACATTTCTGAACTGCTGCTTTATGACCTGATTCAATTTTAAAAAAAGGGAAAAAAACAAAAACGAATGGCCTGGCGCTCACACTGTGCCTGTGGGCAGCCTCGCAGCCTCAATTTACTGTATGGAATTGGGACCTTAACCGCTAAATTTTCCTCTCATGCAAAAACAGAACAGTAGATGCTGAAGAATCTCCTTTGGAACGAATTGGAAATGCTCTGTATGAATACTGGAAGAACTCCGACATTTTGAAACCGAAATGTTGCTCCCATTAACCAATATGTGACAATATAAAATTGACCTTTTCCTAGCAAGAGTAGTGACCTCAGTGGAAATGTTTTAACTCCCTGTCTTTACAGAAAATGATTCAGTAATATACAGAGCTATTTCAAATTACTCTTCCAGATCCATGGGCCTGGTGGTGTATCTACTAATCTAGATCCTGCTTCAGCCAAACGTGTAAGCGGGTACTTGCTGTTAAACGTGCAGGCGGTTCCGCAGGCGCGGCAGAACTCCTCGCACGCTTGAAGCCAAGTGCAGCTTCCGAGTGCTTTGTTGTGTCGGGCCATAACCCTTCAGTGTATCACTGGGGAGTTGGAGACTTCCCCCGCAGTGAAGTGATTCCGCTCACCCTTTCCTTGGTTGTGGAACTTACATTTTCATGGAAGATAAGTAAGTGCAGCTTTCCGGGAAAATTCTCATTCCCAAGTGCCAGGAGCCAGATCTTCTGTCTTCTGATAATGGAATTGCTCCTTTGTGAAACACATTCGACAGCAGTAATACTGTGTGAAAGAAATACAGAATATAACATGAACCCCCTCTCTGGTTGCACGCTTATGGCAGTTCCACACAATAGCTGGTGCCCAATGGGGGGTCCCCAAGACTTGCATGTAAAACTAGTATAGATGTCTTCTCTTTTGTAAGTTTTATTTTTGTAACCGTGCATGTAAAGCATCACTGAATCAATGGATCTGTTGAAGAACTCAGCTGCTGGAACCATGCAAAATGTTTTGAATTGCCCTTAAAATATGGAAAATGTTTTCTGAATGCTTTATATTCTTTCTGCTGTAAATTAAAAACAAAGAAAATTTCCCCATACAAAGCGTGTGCCTCTGTTTAAACAAGTCTCTTCTGTCTAGCTTCAGAGCGCAACGTGCTCATTCAGTCGTAAGCAAGCACGAAAAAAATTGTTTCTTCTCCTACACAACCTGCTTGTAAGTGGCCCCTCAGGGGTTGTAACCCCGGAGCCCAGGCCCGCGGCCGGGGCAGGGAACTCTGCGGAGCAGCTCCGGGACCGGGGCCCTGCCAGCGGCGAGGCAAAACCTTCCCACGCCAGCCGCCCTCTGCTGCTTCCCCCAGGCCTCCACCCCAAGCAGAAGCTTCTTTTGAGTGGTGTCTGCGCTCTTCCAGCAGAAAGGAACACTGGTTTAAAGCCGCAGACGCTGGGCACAATCTGCCCCTAATATAAGAGCCGGCAAATTACAGGCTTTGCCAAGATGATTGCAACTATGCAAAAGCTTTAAAAATCCATTTGTCCTTGAAATACAAGTTCTGCCCAGCTGCAGCTAGCAGCTTGGTTTGGTGGAAATTAGTTTTCAAGGCAATACGCTGTAGTTTTTCAAATTTGGAAATGTCATGTGAAATTATGTAAGGTAACTTAATACTACATATTTGTAAATATTTCACCAGCCCTTAGATGGCACCAGTTCTGATCAGGTTTTTTAACACAACTTAAGGCAGTTCTATATAATAGTATAAACATGGCAGATAGGTATTCATCTATGGACATCTGGCTTTTCTGTGATCAAATTATTTTCAGATCTTCAGTGGACAGTCACTTTCAGGGCAGGGACACACACCTGGTAGTAGAATGCTATATCCTGCACAAAGCAGGTGAATCGTGGTAGAATTCAGGATGCCTGCTGATGCAGAAACGTGAGAGGTCACAATAATGCTAATAAATGAGACTGAACTGTTGCACTGAACAGATACAAGTTGCAAGTTACACGAATCAGCCCTTCTGTACCCGGCTCCAAGGATGGCAGAGAAAAACAGCTTTAACAAATCATTGTTAAAGTCTGTGAAAGACTCCGTTCGTGCCATTGTAAATCCTTCCAAAACATGAGATTTCATGAAGTTTCTTCTGGAGTACAGAAAAACAGTGACTTTTCTCTTTCAGAAGAAATTGGCATTTAACTCCGCTGTTTATTTGCTCACAACTACCTCCCTGATTCTCCCTTCGTGTCTGTTAATTCCTGGGTTCTACTTCAGCATCATGGTGGGTTGACCCTGGCCAGAAAGCGAGCACCCCCCAGCTGCCTGCTCGTTCCCACAACCCCCCCCCGTTCTCCCCAGCGTCACGGGGAAGAGAACTGGAAGAGCAAATGTGAAAAACAATGCCTGAGGTTGAGATAAAGTGAAGGAAAAAAGAACAAAAATAAGGACAAGCGATGCAGTCGCTGCCTCCCACCATCGTGCCACGCAGCTTTATCTCCGAGGACGCCGTTCTCTGCCCGTTCCAGCCCTGTCGGTCCCGGCGTGTCCCCTGCCCGCCCCTCCCCGGCGGCAGAAGGACGCGACCGCAGCGGCTGCGGCGGAAAGGTCTGGTCCGGCGCGGGCAGAGCCCAGGCGGCATTAAAC